GTGTGTGTGTGTGTGTGTGTGTGTGTGTGTGTGTGTGTTGAAGAGTAACAAGAGAATGGAAAGCAAGGTTTAACAATCCTGGGAAAAACAAGCAGGGTGGGATGTCAAGACTATATAGGCACTGCACTGAAAAAAGAAATCTATGCAATACAGTGGTCCATGTACTTTTGCGTCCATTCATTGTTGACAAAAAATAAAAAAAGAATGGTTGTTGTATTTTTCAATGCAATGTTGAAAACCAAAATTGAAATTAGAACCGTACACACAAAATGCTGCCCGAAAAAGTACAATATTGACTTCCTTTCAGGTTTTTGTTTATGACTTTTTGCACCTTTAATAAACATTTTCAGAATGCACAAATTAATATAGGAAAATGCCGATTTTATAAGTTGTCTTTGGCCAAATTAGAAGTAATGCTTCTCCCGCTAGAGCCGTCTTTGGAACAATGCAGAGACCTAATATATTACTTTAAAATATGATTTTAAAATAGACACTGCAGAATTCTGGGAACTTTATCGTAATTAAGTTATATATTGGGGTATAATTTTGTCTGCTATCTGGGTCATGGTATCGGAGAGGACCATGCATGCTCACTCAAAGCACATCGTGTTAGAGCGCTACACACGAGGCTTTATATTGGGTAAATATATAATTACAATATAGAAATATATAAAATGATAATTTCTCCTACTTCTCCAGATACAGTCATGCCCGGTTCAAGAATCAAATCACTGAGGGTTCTGAAATTAGTGAGGGTGCTCTAGCCTTAACGTACATCTCTCTTTGACATATTTTTGCTCTGTCCATGGTTATCACTATCATTGCAATGCCGCATTTATATGCAGATGTCACTTCCGAAACTTTGCAGCATGTGAGCGGTCACTGGTTCTCTTAGCATCACGAAAAACAAGACTTCAAATTCAAATTCTGAATGGATTATAGCCAAGATTATAATCACTAAAAAGCATCACTCATTTCAGTTTATCGCGATCTCACAAAATTTCGTGATAATCAATGAAGCTCTACACAGCACAATGAATCTCTTATTTACATCATGTTACACTTTTTTGTTTGTTATAATGAGATACTCCCGAGCGTGCAGCACTGAACAAAACTATGGCGTTTTGAGCGGTGAGTGGATTCTAATGTAAACGACCTCTGCTTGACCATTGCTTTCAAGAAATCAACAGAAATGTCAGTGATTGATCAATGCTACAAAAACACGTTGAAAATAGACACTTTTGAAGCTCTCCAGAGTTTAAACACAAATCAACACTGGAGCATTTGGTAAATATATTTCGCCAGTATCCTATATCTACAGCTTCAACTGAGTTGCTCTTGCTTTCTTTCGTTCCCTCTAGCACTCCCATAGAATGTATACTCCCTGTATACATTTAAATGCAAATAAATATGTAATGCAAAAAATCGGTTACCGGTAGCGAAGTCAGTAGCGCGAGAGGGCGCTTATAGCATCTGTATAGAGACACTAAAAAAGCTAGAAATTAAATTGAGCATTTATATATATTTAAAAACAAGCTTTATATAATTTTTATGATCTTTAATGAAATACGAATTTTGAATAATGAAAGTTAGTTTGTGTCTGCTTATTCTATTCATCAGTATTTGAACCATTAAGGAAAAGCCGCATTTTCCATATTTCATCTCTGGTTTAAAAAATTAAAAATGAATGGACGCAAAAGTACACAGACCTACAGTACATCTGTGATGTAAATATACCAGAGAGAGAAAAAAAAACCTATACCTGTATATGATGGAGCTCTCATTTAAGTTTACATTTATTCATTTTGTAGATGTTATCCAAAACGACTTATTTACAGAGCATTCAAGATTTACCAGAATCTCCTTGGAAACTGAATCTACAGTGCCGCTTGAAAGTTTGTGAACCCTTTAGAATTTTCTATATTTCTGCATAAATATGACACAAAACATAATCAAAATGTCGCACAAGTCCTGAAAGCTGACAAAGAGAATCCAATCAAACAAATGAGATGAAATTATATTCTTTGTCATTTATTTATTCAGGAAAATGATCCAATATTACATATCTGTGAGTGTCAAAAGTATGTGAATCTCTAGGATTGGCAGTTAATTTGAAGGTGAAATTAGAGTCCATCTGTTTTTCAGAGGTGTTTTCAGGTGTCAGTGTGTGCCCTCTTTTATTTAAAGAACAGGGATCTATCAAAGTTTGGTCATGTTTGTGGAAGTGTATCATGGCATGAACAAAGGAGATCTCTGAGGACCTCAGAAAAA